TTTTTTTTTATTCTTTTAGTTTTTCAAGACAGGGTTTCTCTGTGTAGCCCCAGCTGTCCTGGAATTCACTCTGTAGACCAGGCTGGCATCAGAGATTTGCCTGTCTCTACTTCCTGGGTTCTGGGATTAAAGACATGTGGCACTGTTGCCCAGCAAATTTATGTTCATTGTTGTCTATTTATTATAGATGGGATGAGGTTACATAAAGATATTTTCATGCAAGTTTATAATGTACTTGGGCATACTCCCCTCCACTCTCTCTAGCCTCCCCTTTCTCATCTTCCCATTACAATGCAATTAACTGTGTATGTCATTTCATAGCCATCTTTCCTAATTAATCAATTGTGTCTGTATGAAAATCCTTACAAGCATCCACAAGATCTGGAAATATAGAGGGATATTTATTTTGTTAGTTTGTTTTCTTACTTTCATTTTGAGAGATAGGATCTTCCTAAGTTGACCAGCCTAGACTCAATGGACTCAGCCATCCTCCTGCCTCACCCTCCTGAGTACCTGGGAATATTATAAATAAATAGATAGATAGATAGATAGATAGATGATATTGGAGGTATAGGCTACCTAGAAAGGCAACAAACACAAGCTGCAAGCAAAAGCCTGTTCTTTCTAGCAAAGGACCAAGAGAGCAGCAGCTTAGAAAGGAAGACAACTTTCAGACAACAACAGTTCAAGTCTTTCCAAAACCAGAGGGAAAAGCCTTTGACTCTACTCCACGTTTGCTGAATAGAAAGAAAGCCTAGAGAACCTCTCATGCCGGCATTCCTGCTTCCACTAGTATAGTCTCAGGGAAGGACATTGCGGAGCTGAGACTTTCAGTCCCAGTGGGTGGTAAAGACATTCTTGTCCAACAGGGTCAGTGAAGCAACAGGGGAACCTGGGCTTCCCCCCACTTAAGTGTAAGGAGTCACCCACCCTTCTCTGTGATGTAAGCCGAAGCCAAATAGAGAGTCAGGATTTCTATCACTCCTTACTGACAACAAGACCACTTCCCACATGTGAAAAGAGGCCATGCAGGGAGCAATAACTAGATACTCTTTGCCCTCCCAGCCAAGGCAGTGTCAATGGAGACTTATCAGAAGTCTGGACTTCCATTTGTACCAAATAGTAACAAAGAGTTCCTCTAGGTGTCAGTGAAGGACAAGTGGAACCTACAAACTTCCACATCCATTTGCCAATGGCAAAAAGGCATAAAATTCCCCTGCCAGAGTATTGTCCAAGGAAGCCAGCTTAAACGGAAAATGGAAATAGAATTCAGAATCTTATGATACTTAGAAGTCCAGGTTTCTGTCAAAAAGCACTAGCTTTGGGCTAGGAATATAGCCCAATGGTAGAGTACTCGTAAGCACATGCAGTGCCCTCAGTTTTAATCCCAAGCACAAGAATGAAAATTAAAAAGCATATGTTTATATTAAGATACTGAACTTTTTAGCTGGGCGGTGGTGGCGCATGCCTTTAATCCCAGCACTTGGGAGGCAGAGGCAGGTGGATTTCTGAGTTTGAGGCCAGCCTGGTCTACAGAGTGAGTTCCAGGACAGCCAGGACTACACAGAGAAACCCTGTCTCAAAAAAACCAAAAAAAGAAAAAAGAAAAAAAAGAAACTGAACTTTTTTCTTTTAAAATCTTTATATGTATGGCTGTCTCACCTACATGTATGTCTATATACCAATTGTGTGCCAAGTGCCCAGGGTCTCCAGAGGAGGGCATCAGATATAATGAGACTAGAGTTACAGATGAGTGTGAGCTGCCTTGTGGGTACTGAAAATTTAAACTGGGTCCTCTGGAAGAGCGGCAGGTGCTCTTAACTACTGAGCCATTCATCCAGACCCCTCCCCACTCCCAAGAAACAACTTTTAGACATAGCTAAGACAGTGAAAAGAGGGACGTTTAGGACACTAAGTGCTTAAAGGAGAATACTTTCAAATCTAATGAGCTTAGAAATTACATATATCAAAAGATTCAGTCCAAGCCCTGAAAAATAACTAAAACAGAAAAAATGTGTCAATCAAGCCTGGAGCTGCTTTTTTGTCCTGAAACTAAAGAGGTGTGTGTGTTTGTGTGGTGTGTATGTGTTTGTGTGGTGTGTGTGTGTTTGTGTGGTGTGTATGTGTTTGTGTGGTGTGTGTGTTCGTGTGGTGTGTGTGTGTTTGTGTGGTGTGTGTGTGTGTTTGTGTGGTGTGTGTGTGTTTGTGTGGTGTGTGTATGTTTGTGTGGTGTGTGTTTGTGTGGTGTGTATGTGTTTGTGTGGTGTGTGTATGTTTGTGTGGTGTGTGTTTGTGTGGTGTGTGTGTGTGTTGGAACAGATGTCTCAGCTTCACAGGTTTGGTCCCTCTGGATCTCCACCAGCTGTTAGTAATTGGCCCAGAAAGATGAATTGAGAATATACTAATTTTTTTGTCGTCGTCGTCGTTGTTGTTGTTGATGTTGCTGCTGCTGTTGCTGCTGCTGCTGCTGCTGTTGCTGCTTCAAGACAGAGTTTCTCTGTTGCTCTTGGCTGTCTTAGAACTTACTAAACCAATGCAGAGATCTGACTGCCTCCCTAGTACTGGGATTGCAGTCATGCGCCACTGCTGCCTAACTGCATCATAGACCATTGCTTTTTCTTTCTTTTTCTTTCTTTTTTCTTTTCTTTTCTTTTCTTTTTTTTTGGTTTTTTCAAGACAGGGTTTCTCTGTGTAACCCTGGTTGTCCTGGAACTCACTCTATAGATCAGGCTGGCCTCGAACTCAGAAATCTGCCTGCCTCTGCCTCCCAAGTGCTGGGATTAAAGGCGCGTGCGCCACCACCGCCCAGCTTGGAAGTTCTAAGCTAATTATTCGTTGGAATTACCCATAGTGATTCTTGCCACTCTCAAAAACAACTTACCACAAACTTTTTCCTTTCTTTGTTTCCTGATACTGCTAACCCATTTTCCTTCGTTCCTTTTAAAACATTTTATTTTTAATTACATGTATGTTTATGTGGGGATATATATATGTATACACACACACACGCACACGCACACGCACACGCACACAGAGCAGCCTCTGAGATCAGAAAAAGTCATTGGATTCCCAGGAGCTGGAGTTAGAGTTGCCACATGTGAGTGCTGGGAACTGAACTCAGGTGTTCAGCAAAAGCAGTACGTGTGCCAGATGGTGGTGGTGCATGCCTTTAATCCCACCACTCAGGAGACTGATTACGAGACCTCTATTTGATTTGTAGGCAACGGACTTTTAAAATATTGCCTCTTTTTTGGAAAGGCACTTCCTCTTTGGGATACGTAACAACAAGTGTTCTGTGATAAAAATCTGTTAGGGTGGCTGGAGAGATGACACTTGTTGCTCTCAATCTGGTTCTGGAATCCGTGGAGGATTCCTAGAGAGCTGGTGGTTTTCAGTCTACATTGGAATCCTAAAGAAGTTGGACTTAGCACCAGCCCCAACAACAACACAAATGAACTTGCCAGCAAGAGTAGGGGCAAGCAGGCAGAAAAGCAAGGCTTCCTTCTTCAATATTCTTTTATCTGGGTGGCCATCAGAAGATGTAGCCTTGATTTAGGGTGGGTCTTCTTGCTTCAAATAACCTGTTTAAGGAAAACCCCTCACAAGGGTGCATAGCAGGTTAGGTCCCAATTAATTTCAGAGTAGTCAAGCAGAGAAACAAGAGTAGTGACCACATTCTCTAATGAGGTCTGTAACAGCTTTAGGGACAGAATGAGAGAGAGATTAGTTCTGTCCTA